CTGCTGACCTCAGTAGCTCAGGCAGCAGCAATTGAATGTGTGCTGCAAACTTGCAGGAAAAGATTTGACTAGGAGTTGTTTGAAACCATGGGCAATTTCCAATTAGAAGATTTTGTAGCTGGTTGGGTAGGAGGTAAGTAACACTCGGGGCATATGTTGGAACAGTGGGGACTGAAGGATATGCAAAGTGGTGAGGGCATGGGACAATTTAAACAAATCGCATAGAGGACTCGTGGCTGTACAATGCTGATGGACGTAATCCGTTCATGTGCATTTAGTAATGATTGTGCTTGTCTGCATAGGTAGCTTATCCCATTTGTGCAAAAGGGGTATCTTAAATGCAAGCAGCAATAGCAGCACCACATTGTTAGATCCGTTTCTTCAGGGACAACCGACATGTAGCTAGACACGTGAGTTCCTGGTGTCGTGTATATCGCACATTCCTGAATCAATGTCATGATGTAGAGGCTGAATGTCTCTAGCTGGGTAATATGTAAAATGCTACTCTACCCCAACATGTATTGCTAGCCTGTTGGCTATTGAGTTGAGAACCATGTGCAGGCAACTTGAGATATAAACAGCTGGGAACTTTCATCAGCCAATCAAATGGCTCCATTAATCCACACCCTTTTATCAAAGGCAATATGTGCTTCTGACTGGAGGATTTTGATAGAGAAATAGAATATTTGTCAGGGAGCGGTTTTAGCAGGTTAGAATTATTGATCAGGCTGTTTGCAGAAAATATCGATTTCCCCTAAAGTCGATTCCAAGTCCAGAAGAAAATGCAGGAAGAAGATCTTGTGAAGATGATGATAATTATGTCTTACATTTATCAAGTTTCATTCAGCTTCCAGAAGTATTCCAAAGTGCTTAACTATAGAAAAAAGGCATTGCTAAATGTAGCCGCTTCTAGGATGGAAGGCATCAAGCACGTGGACACGACAACTAGCTAGAGAAGGAAATTCTGGCCAGCGATTGGAGAATTGCTCCCTGCCTTTCCAGAAAAGTGCTTCTGTCCAGGTTTGGGATACCCATACCAAGCACACAAGAGTTATATTGAAACTCCCAGGGAGGTCTGAGTTTGCTGGTTCTGGTCCATATAGCTAAGACCAGGTTAATGATCCATTGTGGAGAAATTGGAATATTTGGCAAATTGGCATGAGAGTTGACTGCCACTTCTGAGTAAAGTTGTGATCCTCTGATTATCAAAAGAGATGCCTATGCTCATGCTAGTGGCATGGGAGGAGGCAGAAATTCTCAGACTCAAACCCTGGTAAAGCTGCAATAAGTTTTATGCAGGGAACTGGATCAGGATTTGAGGGTGCAAAAATCATCTTCCAACTTGCAATCGGAACAGCCTCCACAGGTCTCTCGTAGATGCTCTTCAAGCCCCTGGCCCAGAATACTATTTGCAAGACAGAAACACTTCCCTTCATGCCAAGTGGCTATTCCCTGGCTATGGTCTCACTGCCGAGCCCTCTCTGGGCCATGCTTGGCAGAGCTGATACAAAGAATGAACAGTCTCATTGCATCTCTACTCCCTAGCTACTTCATGGTGCACGGTCCTGCTGGTCACCAGCTACAGCAGAATGGCCATGAGTTCGACACCTGCAATGGAGCATGGACTGGACTTCCATTGGATCAATGGTGTCTTTGAGTTACCTCACTCACCTGTGTCTTGTCTAATTACTTCATTGTAATCCCCAGGTGCTGCAAGTGTAATCGTGGGGCATCCACTGGACACAGTAAAGGTAAAATCGGACTATACTTTAACAGATAAAGCATAAAACTCAACTCTTGCAGAGGGGCAGCACAGGGAAAAAGTTTAGTCCATGATGGCAATTCATCCACCTGTAACCCCAAATTCAGAAGGGAGGTTAGGCACCCATTTCACTCATCTTAGATTTCAAGAATAAATTAGCCGTGTCCATAGGAGTGAGGTGGGTAAGTATGTTTTGGAGTCCAACCCTTAGTCACTGCTCATTGTGTTTTTTCTTCTTGTTTCTCAGCTCTGATTTGAAAATGGAGAGACTACTGGGAGACCTTAAAATGAGACTAAGGGATGAATCCTGGTGGGGTTTGAAAGTGAAAGTTGCACAGGGTTCAGTGCACTGTCAGTGTCTGTCAGTATTTCAAAGGGCAAGAGAAGGTTTTATATTTGCCTTTGCTAAAGGGATGTTTTTTTAAACGTTTTTCTGAAGTCCCGCAAGGGCAAAGTACAAAAAATACATGTGAACAGATGCAATTCCTGTTATTTCCCTGGCCAAAAATCTAATATTCTCTGCAGCATTAGGACTTCCAGGTAGGTTGTTAGGCAACCTGCTCTAACAAACAGGTCACGAAACTTGAGTATGAGCAAGGCAGCATGCTTGGAACACCACTCTTAAGAAATGCTAGTGCTTTACACTAGTCCACTGGAGGCCAACCTTTTGAGCAGGTGTGCCACAAATTAGTCTCACACTCTCTCCAAATGCCTTGGATCCCCTTCTCCTTTCTGATCTGCTTTACTGTTTTCTGCTCCTCTCTTGCTGTGCTGCTTGTCCTGTCCCAGGTCTGCCCTGTGCCACGCATGGAAACTGCCCATGCCACAGGTTGGTCATCCCTGCTGTAGTTGGTGAAGATAGAAGGAGAAACATACTATTCCCATCTTTCTAAATGTCATTCCCCTTGTATATATGGCCAACTACTGCTATTGTGGGCCCAAAGGATCATGGTGTCCAACCTGTGATTTGCAGATCATACTGGGCCTCCTTTCTCACTCCTGGTTCAAAGTCTGATGATACAGGGTGCATGGTAGTTTAGGAGAACCATCCAGAACAGGATTGTTTTGAGGGTCGACAGTGATCTGGAGGATAGATAGCCATTTTTGATAGATAATAGAGTTCCTCATTCAGTGCAAAAGGAATAGGACTTGATCTTAAATCCTAGGATTCAAACCCTGCATCTGGCCCCTGGTTGGAGGTCATGACGTTTGAGTGCAGGGCCCCAAAAGCTTATAGAAGAAGCTTGGTTTTGCAATATAAGAGGTCAGGCTACATAAATTCTGAACCTCTTGCATCAAATGTTCCCATGGTGGCTGTGTTTACAGGTACACGGAGGCCTTGTAGAAGGGCAAGGGGGAGCTGTGGCAAGAGCATGGATCAGGGGATGCCAGAGAGAGACAGCCATTTCTATAGCCCAAGAAGCACCAGAGTCTGGGAGGCATGCTGGCTCTGGAAGGTCTCTCATGAGACAGCATGAACCTATGCCTTCCTGTCAAGCTCTTCTGATTCATGTGAGAAATAAGATCAAGACCACTCCTTTTAAGGGAAGCTAACAGTGATCTCAGCACTTTGGTGAAGGGATTGTGGAAGTGTCCAGCCTCTGTGGATAGGCAGAAGCAGGTTAGGAGGGCTCACAGCAACATATGGCTTTGTTTCCTTACCTCTATGTTTAAAGCTACTTTAGTGGGTGGGTTATCAAATTTGCCATTAAAATGCCCAAGCACGGGACTTTCAAACTCCCAGCTAACAGCCCTCATACTTTTGCTCCGGAGGACAGGTCACATTTGTTGGCCATTGGCTGAAGGACATTGTTACCTGGGGTTCTTTGACAGCAAGGGAGCGCGGTGCTTATTACCAACACTTTTTTCCCTCGTGGCTGCAGTAGGAATCAGCATTCGGCACTTGGAGCGGAGCGCAGGCTTTGTGTGCATGCCAGGTTGTCTACTGGCAAATACTGCACCCTTACACTCTGAGGAGTTTGTACCTTTTAATCTGCAAGGGATGGCCCTGCTGTCATCGCTGTGGGTGTTGGTGGGAACACTGGCGTTCCAGTTGCACAGGAACTGCCAAGTACCAAGTAGCACATCTTTCAAGGCACATAAAGACGAGGGTCAAGCTGGCACCTCTATTACATTGGCTTTGGGCTGTTGCTTGGGAATACCAAGCAAGCAGCTTTGTTACCTTTCCAAATGAGGTTGGAGGGGGAGAGAATTGAACCAGTAGCAAGCTTGGAAGCAGGCATCTCTGCAGTGTTTGCCCATGAGCGTGATGTCCAGTGGAATAAGGAACAAAGCTTTTTTCCTCTAATTGGGGAGGTAAGAAGCACTGCTGAATGTGAATTAAATTGCCAACACAGCAGTTCTGCTCTCACCCAAGCAAACAAACCTTTTTGTCTATTGGTTCCTTTCCCTTCCCCATCACCTAACACCCCAGCAAGATCTTTCCTTTTAGAAGTCCATAACCATAAGCAAGACTGTCAAGGCCCCTTTCACTCGAGACCTTGACTTCACCCTTTCAATGTCAGGACTTTCTCTGTGCCAGTTGTAGGCACCATTGCTAGTCTCAGTTTTTGCCTGTAAACCCAAGGCTTGGCTGTTCTCCAGGACAAAAGCCAATTCTGTGCATGAAAGGAGTCTCTGGGAACAAACTTGATAGCTGCTCCTACCATCACGTCAGGGAAGGATTATCCCCTTTCAGCCCCTTTGCTTTCTTTATGCATAAACAACTGCTTCACATTCTTCTATGTTCAGGCTTGTACATGCTGGGAGGAGGAGTTTACATGAATTATCTCCTTAGGACTGGAGAAACTGTCTAAATTTAGATTTGCAGGTCCCTACAAGCAATAAAAAGGACCATTTTTTCAGAAAAGCCTCCCTGGTAATTTGCTGTGGTATTTCCTCTCGCTCCTGTTTGAGCACTGCTGACTTTTTTCTGCTCTGCTCTTTTTGCATGACACTAGGTGAGTCCTCACTTTTAGCCTGCTCTCCATCCCAAGAAGCCACTATATTCAGCTTTTTCAAAAACATGACTTCAGGATAATTCTGGATTCCACTAAGGCTTGTCTCAGGCCAGAGTTTAGCCTCTGTGGCTGCTGCTCTGGGGTGGTTCACTCTGTTGGGGGACCATTTTACAGGTGGGAAGCCTGAGGCAGCAAGAGGGGAAGTGATTTTACCTAGCAGGCCAGTGGCAGAACTTGGGGCCAAACCCAGACTTTCCACTCCCACTCTAGTGCATTGACCCCCACTGCTGACTGTGAATCACTGAACGATGCATTCGCATGCAAGAGCAACCACAATCCTGCTGCTTACGAGTGGGAGAGGAAGGGTTTAATTAACCAGTCTGCTTCTTATGAGAGGGTTTATAAATAACCAAGAAGAGTGTGAAGAAAGTCCAGTAATGTGAGTGCTAAATTCCACATGTACACTGGGTTTTGGCAGCCGTGGGGATCATTAGATTTGTGTATAAATAACCCAAAAGGGTACAGTGACACTAGTAGTACATTCCACACATGCAGTTTAGGGGCAGTTGTGTGGAACTGGTAAGTTGAATTCTTGTTTCTCTTGTAGCCCAAGCCACTTCTCACACTCTCACCATGCAGACAACATGCCTCCCCAGGGACATAAGATTCTTGGCATTCATGTGTCATAAGAAAATTATGTATTGCTCTAAAAGTGCCTAAAAATACTTCTACGTTTTAGTATACAAATCTTCAAGTGTGGCTCAGCATGTATGGGGGCAAGGTTGGGATCTTTATGCAAGCTTTGCACATCCAGACCTGAGAACTGGTTAGAGCAGTCTGACTGTAAGAAGATGCACTGCTAAACATGTTTATCCCTCCTTGTTTCCCAAAATCTCATTACTCTTCTGGAGGTTTACAGTTCTAATTTTTCATCAGACCTCTTGTACTGCTGAGTGTCTGCTGTTGAGTAACACTGAGTTCCTGTAAGAATGGCAGATGCAGTATTAAAATGCTGGGTGATGCAGAGAATAGAGAAACTCAAAGACATGGCACCACTGACCAGGGTTTACCATATGCTGAAATCCCTTTTGCACCATAATTTAAAACATAACATGAAGGAATGAGTTTTTCAGAAGAGAATCATTGTGTGTTCAGAACCAGATTCTCTACTAGGGTAAATCCATTGACTTTAGTAGCAGAGGAATTAGTCCTGAACATTAGTGAATGATAGAACAGTTTGGTTAAAGATAATTCATGGGGATGAGCAGCTGAATAGCTGACACATCAGTTAGTCTCTGCTAAGAAATGTATTAACTTTTAACCTTGTGGAACCTGGTTATCATTTGAAAGAAAAGAAAGCAAACCCAAGAAGAAGGGATGCATTTTGGTCAGTAAAAGGATTCAAAGTGAGTGTAAGCTCATTGCATATGCACATCTTCCACCCTTACCTCACTTTCTGTATGCAGATACCTAATGGCACCGTGTGAGAATTTGCATGCACAAATCAGACGTGCAGTTTTACTTACACACACACACACACACACACACACCCCCCTACAACTAAAACTCTGTGCCTGACATTCTGAAAACCAGATCTACCATAAGTTGTATCTAACCAGCAGGCATCTGCCCATCATCTCAGGTGTTTAAAAGAGCTCAGACATAGTTCAGTCTTTGATTATTACTATGTTTTCATTCTAGCTTGTTCTTTCCTGATCTCCTCCTCTTTTGCAGAGAGTTAAGTGTTATAGTGCCCTATACATCTAGGCATCAACACTTGACACACTGCTCAGCTGTATAGGCAAACCTCACCTGCAACATTTGAGAGTAGTTTCCTGTAACTTTCTGGCTGAAGTTCACCAGGGGGAGATTCCTGCAGGAGCTCATATATTGTTTTCAAAATGTAATCTCTTATCTGTCTGCCTCACGCCTGCTTAGTATACTCCCCCAATGCGACTCCCTTTCCCTGTTAAATAGCCTTCATAACTACATAGTGGGTGCATCTACACAAGACACTACTGTGCAGCGCTTACTGCTCAGTTATTTAGTACTTGTATAATCCTCCAGCATCCCAGGATGCTTTCCTTCCCCCAGCTGAACAGGGAACAGAACACACCCTGCTCTGGGAATGTTATACTTGATTTAGTATAATCAAGTACTAAATAAATATGCAGTAACCGGAGTTACAGTGCAAGTGTGCTGGCAAATGACTTCTAAGTGACACTACTGTGCAGTTGCCTAATAATACTGCAGATTAGCGTATTAGCACTGTTGGTGCTGTGACATGCTACTGTGCAATATTATTCAGCTACTGCACACTTAGCATCTCATGTAGACATGCCCAGTGTATTCTAAAAATGAAGGCTCATGCCTCTTCAGTGAGGATTCAGAGCAAGGGAAATAAGATGCACTCTTGGAGCAGCAGGCTATACTGCTGTGCAGGTAGGTTTCTGAGCAATCGGGTATGAAGAGAGATTTTGAGTAGGAGCTGGTTGTGGTGGCTGGGGCTGCATGCAGACATTCAAATAATCTGGGTTTGTTCTCCTGGTAGAAAAGTTTACCCAAAGATGTCTGAATAGACATTTGAATGCTGAGCCCGTGAAGAGCAGAAAGCTTGCTATGCTGACTCTGTGTAGGCAGGGGGACCCTGTACTCACATCTCAGTGTGCTCTACAGACTCCCTCAATCTGTCTGGAGACAAATGGCAGCAGTGCACAGGGCAGTCTTGATTGGCTGACTCGGATTATGCTGCAGGAAGACACAGGCAATGTGGAAATTGTGAAGGTGATGTGTTCTGTTCCCTGCTCAGCTGTGGGAGGGAAGTGTGGGAGGAAAGCACCCTGGGATGCTGGAGGACTATGCTGGGCTTTTCTCAGATGAGAATATATACAGGTGTTCACTCTCCCAAGAGAAACTCTCCTGGGAGTAATTTAACTCTGGCTGTTCCCAAGTTTGTTTTTCCCCAAGGAAGGGGATTACATATAAGGAAAAGGATGGTAAGCTGCAAAGTGTACTATGCAGAGAGGCCCAAGACAAGGGGGAAGTTCCACCTATGATTAATGGATGGATGGAAATAATTCATGTTCACTCAGGCTATTATTCAGTGCAACCACAAAGTGAAGGGAAAATGGAACAACTTTTAGATGATTTACTATTAGATGATAAAGCATTTTGAATTTCCCCTGAAGCAAGCCTCTAAGCTAAGAATACTTTTCAGGGATTTTTAAAAAAAAATTAAAAACATGTAAACTAATGGCTGATGATCTATGGGTGTGTGCACATGTATATGGAAAGTGAATACTCACCTAAACAATACAGGGCTTGTCATGGTACATGCCATTTGCCACTTTTTTTTATGACTGCTGTATGTATTTTTGGAAAGCATATAAAAATGTATGCCCAGAAAGAAATCTTTTTTATTCTGGACGATATGAAAAACACATTTTTTTTTTTTCATTAGATGCAAGGTATTTCTGGGGTTTGGAATGATTGTTTTGGCTCCCTCTGTTTGCACACCAAGACTGAAATTCACCTAGCATTATAAGGGCCACAGAAGGCACCCAGCACAGTAAAACTGTCATAGTTCTGCTCTGTGATGATGGGATGGGTAGGCAAGGCGTGCGTCAAGGACTCTTGGGCTCTGCATCACGTCCATCACTAATGAAGTTTGCTTGAAGATGGGCCAGGCTGTGACATCTGGACTGAGTAGCCACAATTCCCTGGCTAGGGGCTGTGCATTTTGTTGTCCAGATCAAGCATGAAGGCTGAAGTACAATGCTCATCAGACAAAAATACTGTCCTATGTGTGCGAACTCCAGAAGCCTGACTCGTTATAGTCTGTTGCATAATACTGTTTTCTTGGATTTAAGATGAATGGCCAAATTTTACCTGCGTTAAACGTATGGCTTTCTTAAATTTTAAAAGAGAACGTGTGCTAAGTGAATGAACAATGCACAACACTCTCCAAAGTAAGATAACTAGTAGATTTAGAGAAATCATTGCCAGAAGAGAGTATTAGGACCATCTAGTCTGACCTTCCATATAACCCAGGCCATGAACTTTTAATCAACAAGCTCTGTGTCAAAGCTACACCTTCTAGCTGAGCTAGGATACATCTTTTAAAAAGATATCCAACATTACTTTAAAGACTTCAAATGACAGAAAACTCACCACACTCCTATTAAAAGGTAGTTTATGCTCTCCATTGCAGATGCTCCTCTTTTGCATACTATGTATGTTAATGAATCTGTGGAGGGTTAGGACATTTTGTCTCTTATAATTTGACACTAACTGGCCAATCATGGGTTCCAGATGCAGCAAAGAACTCCAGACATCTGAGGGTCTATTTAGATGGGCCTTTGGCAACATACAAGTTGTGCCTCTTGATATGTTCACTTCAGCATTGTGGCCCTGTTTGTTCTAGGAATGGGAAACCAATTCACTGTCAAATCAAAGTGTACCTAGTGTGCATAGTTTGAAAGGAACTGGAGATGTGTTACTTCAGTTACATTTCATATATGCATTTTGCAGACCCGGTTACAAGCTGGACAAGGCTATAGGAATACACTCAACTGTGTCTTCACCGTGTACAGAAATGAAACTGTAAGTACCTTATTTTGTCTCAAGCAGGAAACAGGAGAAAATGGAGAAGGGATTAGAAGTCATGTGCAAAAATCATGCAGCTGACAGAATTGCATGCAAAGCCCTGGTTATAAGAAATAGGGACCACAGGCATCTGTGGCTCTTCCTGTGTCCCCGCTAACCTCGAGCAGTGAGGTGCAGACTTGTTTCCAGAAGCGAGAATTTTGGCCCAGTCAGTGTGTGGCTTATACAGTATGCTAGCCATGCTGACCTGATAATATACCACCATCTGCTTCAGCGTAAAGCAAAGTCAGCGTGTCGCTCTTCATAAACATGTTCTCAAGCATTGGCTCGGCCTCCCTGGTCTGCCACGTTCAAGTCAGCAGTACCTCTTTATAAGATCTCTATAGGTACACTTCTTCTCTAATGGAGTCATTTCACTGGCTTCAGCTGAGTAATGCCAGGAGAGAATTTGGCTCCTAAAGTACACTTTTTATAGGCATCCACAGTTTTAAAATATTCCCCTTTTTCTGCATAATGATTGAAAACACTAGAAGCATTTTCTCACTGTCCCAAAATCATTTCCATTTTTCCTTCAACTGTAACGTGTAAGCGCTTAGCTCCAAGAAACATCTGCTATTCAGATTTTTGGCCTCATGTCCAAACAGAGCTTGTTGGAACAAATCTTCTTGGCTTTATTTTTTACTAATTTATTTTTTTGAGAGGATGGTAAAGAATGGTTGGGAGCTTTTAGCTGAAGCATTGCATGTCATATCTCATTTAGCCCTGGGAGAGGATCAAAGAGCATGTTAGGTTAAAACACTGATAAGAGAAATAATCTGTGATCGATATCTTGCATTGCACAAGCAATTTATAATTCCTGAGGGAAAGAACAGAAATGCAGATTTGCAAACTCGAGCAGAACAGGGGCGGTGGAATTTTAAGGTTTTACTAGAAAAATGTGACCCAAATAATAAAAGCAGTCAGACCGAGAGTCTCTCTTTAACTCTTGCTTTATCCTACCGTTAGGTCGCTGGGTTTTTTAAAGGAATGTCTTTCCCATTGGCCAGCATTGCTGTCTACAGCTCTGTGGTATTTGGTGTCTTCAGCAATACTCAGAGATTTATTTGCCAGCATCGCTATGGAGATTCCAACCATGCCTCAACAGTCTCAGACTTGGTTGTTGCTAGCATGGTAGCAGGATTTGTTTCAGTAGGAATTGGCTGTCCTGTGGACCTGGTAAAAATAAGGCTACAGATGCAGACACAGCCATTTATTCAAGGTAGGTCGGTAAGGGTTTATTTTCATACTTTCTTTCAGTCTTCAGGGTTACTGAGGCTTATTTAATCTGAGATTCAACACCTGATTCATTATTATGTGTGTTCACTGACACTTGGGCTAAGAGGGAGGTAAGCCACTTAGATAGGTGCAAGGGTCTGATCCAAAGCTCATGGAACTCACGAGGAGCATTTTTTGGCTTCCATGGCCATGCTCCGAGCCTAGCTGCAGTACTGCTGTGATCCCAGAATTATTTCACTTCAAAAAACAGAGGCTTACTCCTTACAATGCAATTTTCTAGGCTGGGGTGAAAAAACAGGTGCTACAGTAGGTATCCTATTCTCACTGTTGGAGGCCCTGGGAATCATAGTGCTGATGAATGGTCAAGTACCTTTGGGTAGGTGGTGTTTTAATGTTGCCTCCTATGGTTTGTGCATTACTGTTGTGCAAAAGTGAAATACATGCCATGCAAAGTCCCTTGTCAACATGTAAGGCTGGTTTTGCAGAAAGCTCCCTTTATACCTTCAAAGTGGTCTGTTATGACTGAGAATGAAGCCTTCTAGCTTCAGGATGGCCCAGTCACTTTGCCCTTATGCACATGCACCTACACGCACCAGCAGTTCAGAAAGGAAATATGAAATAGTCTGTTGGCCAGAGCTGGTGGGCTTTATGTAGAACCTGAGTAGGGATGGAGACTTGAATGGCCAGCTGGTACTCCAGCCAGTCTCCTGGCAGCTGTGAATAAAACACACTGAGGGATGGTCCCTACCTTGAAGTGTTGTCTAATTTAAGACAAGATGCAAAAGGTGGGTATAATAAACAAGGGATGGAGTCAAGGATAGAAGATGAAGGTTATAGTAGTGAGATGTACAGATACACACCCTAGCTGTTTGCACAATCAACCAATGTTAAGATCGTTTCTCTTAAGTTATCAGATCAGTCAGATTCACCACTTCCTCTGCCGTCATCATGATGCAGGTCACAAATATATCCTTTCCTTTGTATTGTCACCAAACAGCCATGATCTGTGGTGCACTGAAAGAACAATGTACACGTTGCAATAGGATCCCAGACATTTAAACTTGCTTTTTCAGCTTCCGTTGTTAACTTAGCAATGAAATACGGCAGGCATTTCTGGGTGTGGCACCTGCACCAAAGCTGATTTCCGAGCACATTCGCAATTCATGTGGCCTCTTTGCAGAGTTTTATGGTGGAGCATGTCTGATATAAGGCCAGCTGTGTTTCACATCTGGATGCACCACTGCGTGGCAGAGTGGACTGTCAGAAAGGTGACTCCATAGAGTGTGGTGCAGTCCAATTCTGAAGGCGCAAATTCTGTGGTCTGTAAAAATTCTGTTAAATTCTGTAGTCTGTTATTGCTGAGGTCATACAAAGGTAGGTGCTAGTACGAAATAACAGAGAGCTGGATAGGACAGGATTTAAGGATTCATGATGATTTAGCATATTGCTAAAAATCTTTGACCAGAATCTATTCCGCTCTACACTGCTTCCAGATGGCCTGAGAGACATGGGAAAGGCAGGATTTCTAAGATCTTGGAAGACAGACTGTGCTGCATTGTGCTTGCTAAGGTTTTTTTCCCAAACAAAACTGAGATGCAAGCTTGGAGAGCTCAATTGTAAGTGTTGTGCAGAGAAAGAAAAGCAACAAATGGGTTAGTTTCAAAACTTAATACTGTATTTAGAGGGTGCCTGATGTTGAAAGGGGAGAAGAAATGTGGGTTTTGTTAGGTCAGGGATTTGGACGGACTCCAACAGCATGTAGAAAGCAGGAGCAAAACATTTACTGTACTGTGTGTCCTCAAAAAAAGGAACAAAGTGCTTCCTAGCGACACACACGTTTCACAGGGGCTGAATAGGTTTAAGAGATGCTTCCAGGAGGGGAAGGGCAGACTTGTTTCTCATGAAAATGAAAGTCACTCTATAAGGAGGGTACAGAGAGCTTTGTGCTTTGGCTCTGTGGGCATGAATGGTAGCACAGGGGGTTGGGATATCACCAGAATACCTAAGCCCCATCCTGGCCCCATCAAAAGCAAGTGATATTGGAGAGAGAGAATTTGGTTGGGTTTGGTTTTTTTTTTTTAATTTCTTGTTTCATTAACTCAAGCAGCACAAGTAAAGAATGACTTTAAAATCAGTGGCAGAGCATTCCAGATAAATAGGTGAGGGCAAATGTTACTTCCATAAAGGGTTTGCACAGCTGAAATAGGAGGATGGACCAGAGGACTCCCTCCAGCCCTGTGATACAAAGCCAAATGAAAAATTCTCCTCCTTTACAAAAAATGTAGTAATCAGCCCTAAATGCTGGGAAAAGTATGGTGTTTTGGAGCATGAGGCCAGGCACCCCCACATTCCCAATGGGTGGGATCATGTTCTCCACAGTTCCTCCATATTTAAGAAAAGAGTGCACGTCAGACAGCCTCTGATGAAGTGAGTTTCAGCCCAAGAAAGCTTGTGCTACATGTATCTACTTTGGTCAGTCTATAAGGCGCAAATCTACCCTGTCCCCCTTCAACCCATTATGCTGTCCAAGAGGGCTGATGTGGTGTTGCCAACTCGTGTTTTTGGCGTTGTTCTTAAAGTCTGTGCTTCAGGAATGTAAAAAAACTTAGCTGTTTCTTCTATATCTATATCTGATAGATGAAGGAAAGAACTTATGCTTTGGGAACGTAAAAAACTTAGCTTTCTTGTGTATGTGTGGGGTTTTTTTAGCTTTCTTTATATGTGTCTGTGTGTGTTTAAAAAAGAAAGCTACGTTGTCCACATTCCCAAAGAACAATGCCAAATATTATGAGAGTTGGCAATACTGCTGATGTGTGAGAGCTGTGGTGTGTCTGGAGCAGTGTGGGCAGATCTGCCAAATTTCAAGGACTAAGCCAGTGTCAGGTTTGTAACAGAAAAGCCATTAGGGTAGAGACTGTCTCTGTCTTCTGAGACTCTCATATGATAGAATCCTGGTCTTTGACTCTGATTCTTGGTCATTACCAAAATACTAATGATTACAATACTGCAATGTAGTAATGCTAACAACAATAACAATAATAGGATAGAAAACGCAAATGCTTTGGAAACTGTGTGTGAATAAATATAAATATATTAAAAAAAAATACTTTGCTGATTCTACCGGGGCCTTTTGCTTTCTGTAGCACTTAAAATATTTGTACTGTAACTATGAATTCACAACAAAGCTGGAGTCTTGGATTATGCCAATAATGGTACCTTTTTATAATAAAAGTGAAGCTATCCTATACCTGCAAGCTTCAGGAGAGAGTATATTGGTAATTCATACAGGTGATGGGTGAGGTGGCCTCTCTTCTTGATGCATGCAAAACTTAAGCACAGTCTGATCATTATCCTGTTCAAGCCAACACGGAGCAAATTGTGGTTTTCAGGCATATGTTTGTTTGGGAGATTTGATTCATCATCTTTCAGTACGGAGGACGGTACGCACCTGGAATGTTTGCTCAGAGGCATCTGAGGCAAATGACCAATGGGTGAACTCCGTGCCTGACAGGTCACATGAATTTTTCATTTGGACTATGATTTCAGGCACTGGGTTCCTTTTAGACTGAAAAATATGGCTCACTGCCTTTGGTGGCTGTTTTGTCCTTTTAACTTTTGAAGATCACAACCCTCTTCAAGCAGCATTGTGGTGTTCAAACTGATTTCAGCCAGTTGTAGTTCCAGCCCCAAGGAATCCCTATGGCTCCGAATAGATGTGCCTAGACAAGTGAGCCAGATCCTCAGCAGGTGTTAATCAGTGCAGTCCTGCTGTTTTGCCTCACAAAGCTAACCTCTTTAACATTTTCTTTGTCTCCATCTTCTTGAGCAGGGATCGGGGCATCCCCTCCACTGGGATCCCCAATGGACCCAGGGGAGGCGCTGCCAGGCCCAGGGTCAGTGAGGACCTAGTCAGGGAACTTCTGGTGGGACTAGACATGTTCAAATCAGCAGGTCCTGATCATCTCCACCCCACAGCGCTGAGGGAATTAGCAGAGGTCGTTGCGGGACCCCTGGCACAGCTTTACGAGCACTCGTGGTGCTCTGGCAAGGTGCTGGAGGACTGGAAAAGGGCCAGTGTGGTCCCCATTTTCAAAAAAGGGAGGAAGGAGGACCCAGAAAACTACAAGCCCATTAGTCTCACCTCGGTCCTGGGGAAGCTCTTTGAGAAAAGTGTCCAGGTGCACATCTGCGAGGGGCAAGCAGGGGAGTGGTTGCCCCTAAGCATACAACATGAGTTCATTAGAGGCAGGTCCTGTCAGACCAACCTGGTGGCCTTCTATGACCAGGTCACAAAAGCCTTGGACGCAGGTGTCACGGTGGACATTAGGAAGGCCTTCGACACCCTCTCTCACTCCATTCTCGTTAAAAAATTAGGAGATTGTGGTGTTAATGCCTACACAGTCAGATGGGTCACCAATTGGCTGGAGGGCCGCACCCAGAGAGTGGTGGTGGACGGGTCATTTTCGACCTGGAGGGATGTGGGCCCTGTGGCCTCCCAGGGCTCTGTCCTCAGACCTGCACTGTTCAACATCTTCATTAGTGACTTGGATGAAGGGGTGAAAAGCACCTTGTTCAAATTCACAGATGACACTAAGATGTGGGGATAAGTGGGCATGCTAGAAGAAAGAGAGAGACTGTAATTGGATCTGGACAGGTTACAGGGGTGGGCAGATGAGAATAAGATGGGATTCAATACTGACAAGTGCAGGGTACTGCACCTAGGGAGGAAGACCCAGCAGCATACCTACAGGCTGGGGAACTCCCTTCTTGTCAGCGCAGAGGCAGAAAAGGATCTTGGAGTCGTTATAGACTCCAAGATAAACATGGGCCGCCAATGTGGGGACGCAGTCAGGAAGGCTAATCGCACCTTGTCATGCATCCACAGATGCATCACGAGCAGGTCCAAGGAGGTGATCCTCCCCCACTATGTGACACTGGTCAGGCCACAGTTGGAGTACTGCGTCCAGTTCTGGGCGCCGCACTTCAGGAGGAAGTGGCCAGCATCGAGAGGGTCCAGTGGAGGGCCACCCGCATGATCAGGGGGCAGCAAGGCAGGCCCTACGAGTGGAGGCTACGGGACCTGAACCTGTTCAGCCTCCACAAGAGAAGGCTGAGAGTGGATCTGGTGGCCTTCTACAAGCTGGCCAAGGAGGACCAGCAGGCTATGGGAGGGTCCCTGTTTCCCCAAGCACTACCAGGAGTAATGAGGAATAATGGCCATAAGTTGATGGAGAGTAGATTCAGGCTAGATATCAGAAGGCACTCCTTCACAGTCAGGACAGCTAGGATTTGGATCCAACTTCCAAAGGAAGTGGTGCTCGCTCCTTCCCTGGGGGTCTTCAAAAGGAGGCTGGCTAATCCCCCTGCCGGGGTCATTTGACCCCAGCATCCTTTCCTGCCCATGGCAGGGGGTCGGACTTGATGATCTGCTCAGGTCCCTTCCAACCCTACCAAGTATGAAACTATAAGGGTGATTTGTGATTAATGGGAAGCAGTTCAAAGAAGAACTTCCTGAATGAGTGGGAATGTGAGACTCTTTCCTTTCCCATGTCCTTGTGACAACGTATTTAGCAGAATTTGCAGATTCATTGGGATCTGCCAGGGCCACACCATGAGCACTTCTGCTATGGCCTTAAACTCTCCATCTCTGGGTTTCCAGCCACTCACCCCATCATCCACACCACCAGAACAGGGTGTGAGACCTGCAAAAAATACTTGAGGGTGTCATTATTTAAGGCACTGTGTGAAAATTATAACCGGTGGGAATGGGATGAAATTTAAGAAAGAGAAAAGCTGGGGTGATCTCAAAGAATCCTCCTGGTGAGATGTCATCAACTGTTGATTTCTCTTAAAAACAAACACTTTTTTCTTAGGAGCATTTTCTGTGCCTCGCTTCCATTGCTCTCAAAATGAAAATGATTGAAGACTACTCATCTAGGATATTTAGTACTAGATGGGACGCAGTACTCTCCTAGCATACGACTGGCATGGTCCTGACTGGCAAGGCAGTGGGTTGAAAGAGCCGACAGATTTTCAGTAGTCTGTCGCTGGGGTTTATACATGCCCTGGAACCCACTTCAGCCTTATCATTGGTTATTTGAGGTTGCCATTTGATATCAACTCTCTAGGAGGTGGAATTTGTTTTGCTGTTTCCCTGTGATGCTGGGAAAGTGCAGCATAAAAGTGGCAACATGACTCTTATTTTAATGGATTTTTCAGACCCAGCAATACTTACAGGAACACCACCAAAAATATTGGCCTTAGCGATTCAGTCTTCAGTGGGCCTTCTTTCTTTCAACTTGTTGAATTCCCAAATATATTTTGCATCAAGCCAGAAGCTAGTGGTATTAGGTTGAGGAGACAAGAGTATTCCTGAAATCCAAGGCAAAATGCAAAGAAAAAAGCTGCAGACAGGTGAAGAATAGGAATACGTTTGGGGAATGCATTTGCTGTCTTGATCAACCTGTAGAACCAGTTGCCCACAGTCAACAACATATCCTCTCCTGACCTTAATTTCCTGGGGACAACCTCTCTTTGTAAATGTAGAGGTTCAGATGTGCCAGACAATTGATTCGTCTAATCTCTTAGATATAATGGACCAGATGCTGCTATCTTACATAAGTATTAATACAAAACAGTTGCAATTTACATTATTGTATCCTAGTGGCTACTGCTCAGTTACACTAGTAAGACAGAGACCAGAATTTGCCTTGATATATTTATTGTATTGAAGAAATATTCAGAATCCTGATTTTCATTGCTAACATTTGCTATTGAGAGAGAGAATAAAATAAACATGTGGACTAAGTTCCTGAAAAGCTGTGACGTGACAGTGACTGGTTAGTAATGACTGCTGAACTCAATCCAATTCAAATATTATGTTCTATCGCAGTTCTTTTCATTAGCTTGTGTTCTTATATCCTTCGATACAATTCCTTTTCCATCTCTCTCTCGTTCTAATATGCATTTGTACTCATATTTCATTTGGATGCATATTTTTCATTGAAATTTGTGCATGCACCAAAAAGAGAGATCTTGCAAAAGATGTTTCTTTATAAACTATCCTGTAGTCAAACTTTTAAGGGCTTTTCATATTTCATTAGTGCTATCACATACAATATCAGTTCAAGTGTTTGCTTGGATACAAAGATATTGAATAAAACTTTCAGAAGTAGCCAAGTGACCTAGGAACTTAGGACTTGCTTTCAAAAGAAAAGAAGCCTTCTAAGCAAGGGCTAGATTTGCAAAAGCAGTCGGGCTCCTAAAGAACGAAGACAGGTGCCACGTGGGATTGAAATCAGTGGGACTTTTGAAATCTGTAAGCAGCTAAATCTCTTTGAAAATCTGGTGCTGAGTGCCTAAGTCACTTTTGAAAATGAAGCTTTTCATTGGCTTTGTTTGAAAATATGTTTGTTCTTATTTCGACCGTCAAGAGGGACAGATTGCAACGATATCAGTAAGAGTGGAGCAATGGCATAAAGAAAGAGAAACAAGCAAAATTAATGGAGCAATGGCTTTTCTTGTTGTTAAAATAATTACATCTGTTTTTGCAGCAAACATAAACTTAAAGCCCCAGGCGGCTGGGTTTCCTGTTCAGACTGCGTACAGAGGCCCAGTCCACTGTATTAGCTCAATCCTCCGGAAAGAGGGCTTAGCAGGAATATACCGAGGTGCTGGTGCAATGGTTCTGAGGGATGTTCCTGGGTATTGCCTATACTTCATCCCTTACACGTTTCTCTGTGAATGGTTCACCTCAGATGGACGCAGGTCTCCTAGTCCCTCTTCAGTGTGGATAGCAGGGGGCATAGCAGGTATGGACCTTTCTCTTTATAGCATTGGGAAATACATTAATAGGAAGCTTAGCCTAAATGTTAGGAAATGTGAAACACTTTCTAAGCATGTTAGTTTTACTGTCTGTGTTAGATTTCTTTGTTGTGTTACTTCAGCTTTGTGCTTGAGGCACAGTAGACTGTAGTATGCACTGTACAGAGTCATGGGGCTGGAAGTGAATGTGAAGGATCATCTAGTCCAACCCCATGCACAAATGCAAGGTACACTAGTCCTAAAACATCCTGAACAAATGTCAAGGGGACAACTCACTGGAGTCAAGTTATGCACATGCACAAATATATGCGAAGTTGGTCTCCATTTTTCATTTTCTCCTGATGCAGAGCCCATTGTAATCCTTAGAAAGTCTCCTTTGGATTTCAGTGGAGTTGGGAGTAAGTCCTAAACCTGTGTCATTAGCTTCTCTTGTCCTCTGGCTTTATGAATGGCCCATACGCCTCCACGATAGTACTTTACTCTCTGTGTGGCTCACAAGAAGAAACATGGATTCCAGTTGCACTCAGCAGGAGAAGCCACCAAGTGGAGAGAGTTAGATCAGCCATCATTAATCTTCTCTCAGCTTTGGAGGCTCTGTGTTTTCTGTTTGCACTGGCCACTAAGACTTTTTTATACATAGATTTAGGTATACAAACTTCCCCTTAAACTAGCTATTAGTTTATTTATTCCTAAATCCCAGGACTCTAACTGAAGACTGGGTAGCCAGTTACAACACACTGGCTCTGTTTCTCTTGCAAATATACAGAGCACTAGCTAATTTGAACAGCTTCTCTAGTATGTCATAACACTGGCACAGCTCCAGCCACACTCCCTGTCATGCACTACCTCCCCCATTGCTCTCAATCACACACACAGCCACTGCCATGAAGAAACACCAGGTTAATTATGACATGGAATCAATAGGCATGAGGCTTTGCAAGCCGTTAAATCTCGCAGCTTTGGAAATAACATTGCATTCTGAAAGAAAATGGAAGCACACCTAGGATGAGATTTTCTGCACCTAAATTAATATCCCAAGTATGTGGAAGACTTCAGTGCAGTGATAGATATAACGCTGACCTTTACAACCAGGTAGAACATTCCCTCCAACTACAGTCGTAGACACTCCTGTAAGTATTATGCATGCATATCAGTTTCTGTCAAGGAATGGTATCCGTTTTTAATCCAGTTCACATGTAACAAAAGTAGCACCTCATTCACATTCCTTCCTCACTCATCACTCCCTTTCCCAATATAACCACATGAGTGCAGTCACAGTTTCATAGTTGTTCGGGGCTGGAAGGGACCTTACAGATCATTGGGTCCCGCCCCCCTGCACTTGGGCATGAAAGACTGCTGCGATCAGATAACCACAGCAAGACGGGCATCAAGACGTTTTTTTGAAGATCGCCAGGGTGGATGACTGTACCACCTCTGGGAGGGAGCCTGTTCCAAACCCTCAGCACCCAACTTGTAAAGAAGATTTTTCCTTATGTCTAGCCTGAAGCTATATCTTCAATCAGTTTGTGCCTGTTATTTCTTGTCCTCCCCTTGGGGGCCTTAGTGAATAGATGCTCCCCCAAGCCCTGATGTACACCCTTCATATATTTATAGGCTGCCACCAAGTCCCCTCTGAGTCTTCTCTTCTCCAGGTTGAACAGTCCCAAGTCTTTCAGCCTCTTTTTCTATGACCTGGTCTCTAGGCCTCTAATTATGTGTGTGGCTCTCCTTTAGACTCTCTGGAGCTTCTCCACATCCTTCTTGAAGTGCAGTGCCCAGAACTGGATGCAGTAGTCCAGTTGCAGTCTCACCAAGGCTGAGTAGAGTGGCAGGATGATATCCTTTGCCGTGCTCGAGATGTCTGGGTGGATGTATGCCAGTGTTTGATTAGCTCTTCCAGCTTTGGTATCGCACTGGTGGCTTATGTTCATTTTGCTGTCAGTCATGACACCCAGGTCTTGTTCAGTTGTGGTGCTGGCAAATGTAGCACTGCCGAGCCTGTAAGGATGTTGTGAATTATTTCTCCCCATATGGAGCGCTTTACAGTTCTCCATATTAAATGACATCAGGTTAAGGTCTGCCCACCTCCCGAGCCTGTCCAGTCAGCCTGTATTCCCAGTCTGTCTTTGAGCGTGACTGCGCTCCCCCATAGTTTGGTGTTGTCAGTGAACTTTGCCTGTTCACTTATAATATCTGAATCCAAATCATTGATGAACACGTTGAAGAGCACTGGTCCAAGTACTGACCCCTGAGGGATGCCACTGGTCACCTTCTGCCATGATGACTCATTTCCATTGATCAATACCCTTTGGGGCCTACCATAGAGCCAGTTACCTAGTCACCAGACTGCAAAGTACTCAAGCCTCATTTTTCCCAATTTAACCATGAGGACATCGTGGGAGACTAGGTCAAAGGCCCTTTTGAAGTCCAAGTATATGACATTTAACCTCATTTCCCCTAGCCAGGTGGCGAGTTACATGATCATAGAAGGAAATGAGGTTGGTCTGGCACGACCTGCCCGTAATGAAGACATGTTGGCTGTCTTTCAGAACACTGCCTTCAGTTAGCCTGTATGTGATGGATTCTTTTATAATTTTCTCCAGGATTTTACCAGGGATTGAGGTCAAACTGATTGGCTTGTAATTTCCTGGGCCCTTCCGTCTCCCTTTCGTAAAGATAGGTACCACATTTGCCTTTTTCCAGTCTTCTGGGACCTCTCCCAAGTGCCACGAGTCTTCAAATAACTTTTCCATTAGTTGCGCGATGTCAGCCAGTTCTTGTAGCACTCATGGGTGTAGTTCATCTGGTCCTGCTGACTTGTAGATATTTAGCTTTTGCAGGTGTTCCCTCACAAGATCTATGCCAACTAAGGGAGGGTGGTCGCCCCCACCGTGATCATCCTGTATCCTGTCAAGCAGGGTATAACACCCTTGGACTGGTGGAATTACCCATGTGATGCATTCATTCAAGAGTTTAGTTTTGTCCTGAGTGTCAGTTATCAGCCATCCCATTTCATTTATTGGGGCCCTATGCTTCCCTTGTTCTTTTTTTGACTTCCTACATATCTAAAGAAGGACTTTTTGTTGTCCTTGATTCTGGTTGCCAATTTGTATTAGGTACTTGCTTTTGCTGTCCTGATCTGCTCCCTACAGGTACGGGCTGTTGCTGAATGCTCCTCCTTGGTAGCTATTCCTGACTTGTATTCCTTGTAGGCTTCTTGTTTAAATTTCAGGAGGTCCATGACTTCCCTGTTGAGCCAAGGAAGTCTCCTAGCTCTCTTGCTGCATTTCTTCCAAAAGGGAATGGACTTTCTTTCAGTTTTTAGGATCGCTTCCTTGAGGAATGACCACTCTCCTTGTACTCCCTTCTTCATTGGACCATGGTCCCGCAGGGCCTTGCCAACCAATGTTCTGAGTTTGTGGAAATTAGCTTTCCTAAAATCAGGCCTATTTCCCTGACTTATGGTGAATGGCGAAAGTGATCATGTCATGGTCACTGTCACCCAGTTTCCCTTTGATCCTCAGGTTGCTCACTAGATCATCTGCTTTGGCCAGAACCAAGTCATGGAGTGCCTTGTCCCTGGTTGGCCTGTAGACTTCCTGAGTTAGAGCTCCTCAATGCAAGTGAGGAAGCTTTGTAAGCAATCAGATCTAGCTGAGTGATCCTTCCACAAGATGTTTGGGTAGTTGAAGTCACCCATGATGACCATGCTCTGAGAGCGTGCAGCCTCTGCCAGTTCTCTAGAGAATTCTTGGTCGAGTTGTTCCTCTTAGTTCAGAGGTCTGTAATTAGATTCCTAAAAAAATTGCTTCTAAAGCAGCTCTTTTGCCAGGCATTTAACTTTTAGCTTTATTGATTCCTATCGTAGGCATTTGCAAGTTGTTCCTCATGGCAACACCCTGGAATGTGGGTGTGTTTTGTAGACTGAGGAGCATAGGTGGTGTATTAAGACCAGTCTTCCTTCACAAGGCCACTGCAGCACTATTCTGGACACTCAATTCAGCACTGCAGCACTCAATCATGGACACTGCAGCACTATTTCCACACATTGGGGTCCTTCCTGATCTGTCTATGGTTACCTGCCTTGTTTTCTACTTGCGTTACAGTGAAATCCAGTTCTACAATGCTTCCTCCAGACATGGGCGATTGGTGCTTCCCGAGTCTGGGGGGGCACCAGATCGCTGATGGTGCGGGGTCCCCCAGTACCCGATTGCTGTCCGCTGGCACTTCTGGTTTCATGGCTGGCACTTCCAGGGGGTGCACGGCTGATCTCAGGGGGTGTACGTGCACCCCTATGCGTTACCAATGCCTCCAGATATAGTGCATTATCTCCAGAAATAGCATTTTTGGTGTAGAAACAGTATGTTTTCCACTATCATTTCAGTATATTCTTCCTTTTTTAGAAGTACCATCAACCGGATGAGAGAGGTGAGTGGTAAATTAGTGGGCATATCAGGCTGGGGTTCAACGAGGAGTATGAATAGGTATGCACCAATAGAGAGTATGTTATTACCTAGACGTCTCCAATCATAATCAATGCTCCATTGTATTATTTCACTATAAGGGAAGAATTCCCCTTTTTCCTCTTTCTAGGAGCAATCTCCTGGGGGACTGCTACTCCAATGGATGTTGTGAAAAGTCGACTTCAAGCAGATGGGGTTCATTTAAACAAGTACAAAGGGGTCATTGACTGCATCTCCCAGAGCTACCACAATGAGGGCTTAAAAGTAAGTAGCACTGCTAGAAAACCTTTGTAATAGGCATTACTCCTCCATGAGAAAAATGATAGCTTTCATTATACAAACTGCAGAGAGATGATAGTAGATCATCAAAGCCAGTACAATTAATTATAATCAAGTCATAATAATGACAGTGATTACAGACCTGAGAGAAACAAAGACTGGAATGATTTAGGGCCAGGTTATACCATGTTATTGGCACACTTTACACTATTAAAATCAGTGAGGTTAATTGAAGCTGCTTATAATGAATATGGGGCTGGCCCATAGGGATTGTTTCCTATAAAAGGGAGGATCAAGTACTTCCCCATGAAAGTGAATGGGAACCTTGCTTCAGTTATTATTCAGTAAGAGGTGATGAGTCTAATCTTCTGCTGCCCTACACTGGAGAAATATACTACAACAGAACCTGTAGAAAAATCTATGCAGCAAGACCTGCAGGGAGCTTTTGGTTAACTGACTGTGGGTTTTTTGTGGTAAACCAGAGGAGAGGAGCACTGCTCAGAGATGACAAAGCTGGGTGTGGATGCTTAGCAGACATAGGAAAGAAGGCTGTTGATGCTGGATACAGTGGATTTGCAGAACAACAATGGGAGGTATAAAGTAGCAGTATGGCCCTTTGCTCATTCAGTACTCTGGTATATTCATCCTTAATACTAAAATTCACAGCATATAGTCTTTCTCTACCTATCCTAAGTGATAGGTCATTTGTGCTGAGCTGAGCTACTTTATAACTATTGACAAAAAGTGTGTCTTCATAAAAAGTCAGTGCCTCAAAAACAAAGAAACACTCAAGATTGTACACCTCGTATTACACTGCAAATTACTTGAAATTTTAAGGTCCCGAATTGTGCATTTCAGCAGTATGAACTATATTTAATTATTTGATTCTTGACGTTGCTGTACTTAAGTGTTCTCGTTTTCAAAGAAGATGTATGTTACTTTAAATGATGGATTCCCTTATATGAGACCCAGATCTTTAATCTTCCCTTAGTCAAAAGGCCTACAGACAGCTGTGGGAGTGCTGCTTTTGTAAGGATTGAGGAATCAATTCGATATAAACATTTAGGTCTTCACTTCTATTCTAAAATTCAGTAGTCTTGATTTTGCTATTAGCTGTAAGTCATGTATTTAATAGCGTGAATCTGTTAGAAGCAGACAAATTGAAATACTCAGGAAAACATAATTTTCTAAATGGTTAAATGGAAATTTCCTAGAATTGAGTTTGCATTTGTCTCTTGTGCAGTGACTGTAATGCAATAGTGTTATGTTAGACGGTGGAATTTTTTTAAAAGGATCTGAGTGAGCAGTAGGAGTAAACAGTGTTAATAATACAACGAACCCTTTTTCACTTTCCATAAAGCACTTTACTGTTCAGGCAGTGAAAGAATGCAGCTTCTTTCACTCTCTGAAATGCCAACAGCAGTTCAAAATATGTCCAAAATTATCAGATGTGAATAGCTAAATCCATATTTATCCTCTTTAATAAATGGGAGGATTAAATAGGGTATTACGAAACTGATGTTAGAAAAGCAAATTTGAAAGTATTGGTCCAGAGCAAACATCGCTGTTGAGTTTGTTCGACAGTCATGTGAGCTACTTGTCAATAAGGGGGAAGAATAACTCCAGGTTTTCCTTCTGATTGGAAATTGTTTTGTGACCATAAAAGAAAACTTCCAGGTATTTTAGGAATGGCATGACCTGGACTAGATGACCCTTGAGGTCCCTTCCACCCCTCTGGTTTTGTGATTCTGCTTGGACTGAGATGGAGTATTTCATAGATTTCATAGACATTTGGACTGGAAGGGACCCTGGAGGATCACTGAGTCCAGCCCCCTGCCACAGGGGCAGGAAGTCAGCAGGGATCATAGGATTCCAGCAAGATAAACATCCAAATGTGTCCTGAAGGCGTTCAAAGTAGGTGCGTCACCAGCCTCCGGCGGCAGTCTATTCCAAACCTTGGGAGCTCGGACAGTAAAGAAGTTTTCTTATGTCCAGCCTGAATTGGTCGCGGCAAAGTTTGTGACCGTTTGATCGCGTCATCCCTTGGGGTGCTCTGGTGAACAGACGTTCCCCCAGTTCCTGGTGAACACCCCTGATAAACTTATAGGTGGCCACCTGATCACCCCTGAGCCTGCGCTTTTCCAGGCTGAAGAGTCCCATGGCTCTCAGCCTCTCATCATAAGGTCTGTTTTCCTGACCTCTGATCATGCCGTGTGGCTCTCCTCTGGACTCTCTCAAGCTTCTCCACATCCTTTTTGAATTGTGGAGCCCAAAACTGGACGCAGTACTCCAGCTGCAGCCTCACCAAGGCCGAGTACAAGGGGAGAATGACATTCCAGGATTTGCTTGAGAAGCATCTATAGATGCAAGCCAGCTTTTGCTCATTTTACTAGCCGCCGCATCACACTGAAGGCTCATGTTCATCTTGTGGTCAGTCATGACCTCCAAGTCCCTTTCATCTGTAGTGTTAACCAGCGTAGTACTGCCGAGCCTATAAGCATGCTGTAGGTTTTTCCTCCTGAGGTGGAGAATCTTGCATTTTTCAGTGCCATCAGGTTCTCATCCACCCATTTCATGAGCCTGTCAAGATCTGCCTGGATCACCCTCCTGTCCTCAGGTGTGGATGCTTTACCCCAGAGTTTGGTGTCATCGGCAAACTTTGCCAGTCTGCTTCTGACACCAATGTCCACATCATTGATGAAGATGTTAACCAGTATAGGGCCTAGGACAGCCTTGAGGGACCCCACTGGTTACTGTGCACCAAGATGATTGGCTTCCATCAACCACCACCCTCTGGGTCCTACCATGGAGCCAATTCCCCAGCCAGTGGATCATGGTCAGGTCAAGGCTGCAGTTAGCCAGTTTAGCCAAGAGGTGATCATGGGATACCAGATCAAAGGCTTTCTTGAAGTCAAGATATACAACATCAATTTATTTCCCTTTGTCCAGGTGATTGGTCACCTGGTCATAAAAGGAAATTAGATTGGTCAAGTAAGACCTACCCACAACAAACCCATGCTGGGTATTGCTCAGGATATTGCCTTCAGCTAGTCTGTTAAGGATGGCCTCTTTGATAATCTTTTCCAAGACCTTCCCCAGGATAGAGGTCAGGTTGATGGGACTGTAGTTTGCCAGATCTACTTTCCTCCCTTTCTTGAAGATAGGCATGACATTGGCTCTCTTCCAATCTTTGGGCACTTCACCAGAGTGCCAAGAGCTGTCAAAGATCTGTGCCAGGGGCTGAGCTATGATGCTTGCCAGCTCCTTGATTACCCTTGGGTGTAACCCATCAGGGCCGGCTGACTTGAAGGTATCCAGCCTGTCAAGGTGTTCCTTCATGAGGTCAGCTTCGATGGAGGGCAAGGAATCTCCCTCACCTGGGCCTCCCTGACCCACAGTGGGCAGGGGCATCCCATGGGACTGGTGAAAAACTGATGCAAAGCACCCATTTAGCAAGTTTTCTTTTTCCTGGGCATCAGTTGTCAGCTGTCCCATCTGATTTAGCAGGGGTCCAATGTTGCTCTTGCTTTTTCTCCGGCTCCCCACATATCTAAAAAAGGACTTTTTATTGTCCTTGATATTTGTAGCTAGCTGGAGTTCCATCGCAGCCTTGGTTTTCCTGGTTTGCTCTCTGCAGGTCTGGAGCAGAGCAGAGTATTCCTCCTTGGTGGTGGTTCCAGTCCTCCATCCTTAGGTCTATCTTTTTAGACGCAGGAGGTCCACCCGTTCCCTGGAAAGCCAAGGGGCTGCTGTGCCCTTTTGCTGTCTTTCCTCCGAGATGGGATGGACTTTGCTTGTGCATCCAGAATTGCTCCCTTGAGGAACAACCAGTCGTCCTGAACTCCCCTCTCCTTTGGGTTGTGGCCCTTTATGGCTTCTCTGACAAGCCTCCTTAGCTTGTCAAAGTCAGCTTTCCTGAAGTCAAGGACTTCTGTATTACTGATTGACTTGCCAGCTTTACGGCAGATAGTGAAGGTGATCAGCTCATGGTCACTGTCACCCAGCTTCCCTTCAATCATTAGGTTGCTGATTAGGTCATCCCCGTTTGCCAGTACGAGGTCAAGCAGCGCTTTACCTCTTGTTGGCCCACAGACTTCCTGCATCAGATAGAGGTCATTCACGCATGAGAGACAGCTTTGTGCCCGCTCAGATTTGGCTGAGCGCTCCTCCCACGAGATGTCTGGGTAGTTAGTCTCCCATGACAACCATACACTGGGAGCGTGCAGCCTCAGCCAATTCCCTGGTGAACTCCTGGTCAAGGTCTTGACCCTGGGTAGGGGGTCTGTAGTAGACTCCAACCATAGTATCCCCTGTGCCATGTTCCCCATGGATTTTAACCCAAAGAGTTTCAAGTCGTCCACTGTGGGTGCCAATGTTGGCTTGCAGGGACGCGTAGCTTTCCTTGACGTAGAGAGCTATGCTCGCGCCCCTTTTGTCCAGTCGATCCCTCCTGTACAGGGTATAGCCATCTATACCTGTGGCCCAGTCATGGGTGGAGTCCCACCAGGTCTCCGTTATCCAGTTTCATAGTTGGTAGGGTTGGAAGGGACCTGAGCAGATCATCATAGTTATTTGCATTTAGCAGGAGGACAAGTTCCTCCTGTTTATTCTCCAAGCTCCTGGCATTTGTGTATAGGCACGCAAGTGTCTCCTTGGGGGCCCTTGCTTTGCCTACATTTTGTTCCGGGGCTGGGGTGGGATCCCTTAAATGCCTTGGCCTGCTGGCTTTGCAAGGGTTGCTCAGTGGGCCAGCACTGGCAGTAGTCCCCCCATCTGCCAGCGGGCTTAGTTTAAAGCCTGGTGGAGCAGGTCAGCCAGTCTGGCCGAGAAGAGCCTCCTCCCCAGTGGAGAGAGGTGGAGGCCGTCCCTTCCCAGAAGCTCGCTGCCTTTCTCTCCAAAGAGCAGACTATGGTCATAGGAGCCAAAGCCTTCCCGATGACACCAGCGCCGCAGTCTTTGGTTGACTACCTGGATCCTCCTCTCCCTCCTCAGCCCATAGCCTGAGACAAGGAGGATCAAAGAAAACAGCACCTGTGCCCCCAGACCCTTAAGCCCCGCTCCCAAATCCCTGTAGCGCCTCATGTCCCAGCTGGGAGTGCTCTGAGCCATGTCATTGGTGCCCACATGGATGAGGAGAATAGGGTAGTGGTCAGTGGACTGGAGGACGTTAGGGATCTTCTCTGCAATGTCTCGGATTCTGGCTCATGGGAAGAAGCAAGCTTCCCGGGCTAAGGGGTCGGGGCAGCAGATTACCCCCTCAGTCCCCCTCAGGATGGAGTCTCCCACAACAAACACTTTGCGTTTGGTCTTGGGGAGAGCGGGGGCGGTAGCTACAATATCGTCTGTATTGCCTGCGGAACCTGGCCACTCAGCAGGCTCTGCTGGGGCTGCAAGAGGTTCATACCTGTTGCAAAGGTCTAGCGGGGCAGAGGCCTTGGTGCGGCAGGCCTTGTGACCCTTGACAACCTTGGTCCAACCCCTGGGCTGGCCAGTAAGGGAGGTCCCCAAGTCCTCCCTTGTCCTAGAGGGAGACCGTGGTCTACCCTCCGCCTCCTGGGGGAGAAGGGCCTGGCAGTAGGAATCTATCTCCTGTTCACAGTCCCTGATGGCACGCAGTCTCTGAACTGCAGCCTGGAGCTCCTCCAGCTGGCACGCCAGAGACCCCAAAAGGAAGCAGACCCCACAAGGGGAAGTGGGCATGCTCCTGGGCCCCAGAGCCTGAAAAAGCGACAGACAGCCCCTGCAGCCAAAAGACAGGGGCTCCATCTGCATGGAGCTTGGAACCATGGCCTCCATCTATATGGCGGTCTCTGAGGTGCCAGAGGAGGGGGTCGCAAACCCCTCGGGGACCTTCGAGGTGCGGCATGTTCCCATCTACGTCATGCTGCTGGTGCGCTGAATGTGGCTGGGACTGTTTACCCTGGGGGGCTCACAGGCAGGGCCTCGGGCCTTCCTGCTTGCCCTTCTGCGCAAACTCCTGCATTCACTTGTGCACAAGGCCTAGGAGCACGCCTGTGTGCATGGCCTGTTCGTGAGGGCAAGTAAAATGCATTTAGGCAAGTAAAATACATGTAGGTCCTGATCCAACAAAGTATATAAACACTGGCTTGCTTAAGCCAGAAGGACATGCTTAATTTTTAAGGTTCTGCTCAAGTGTCTTGCTGAGTCGGTCTTAAAGATGGCATAAAGGAATAGCTCTGCTGCCCTACAGGACTGCAGATAGGTCAAGAAATGTCTCCCCTCCTAGACCAGTGTAGCTGTCCTATACCAGCTGCTCCTTGGAGGTACATTGGTGTGCACTGGGATCAGCAGAGGCTATGGCTGCAGCCTGGCACACTCCACAAGTCTTTGGAGCTTGCACTAAAAGCTGAACCACCCCATTTCCCAGGTACATTCAAAAGAAATGTTGTGTACCTGGAGATCCAACCCCTGAGGTTTGACTACTTGATGTGCCAAGCCAAAGGGTCTTCTCCCCATAATCTTGCTTTTCATTGTACCAGCTTGTTCAACTATATATAATTTTGTGTAGGTATAAAAGGGAGGGAGAGACAAACAGACAAGAGAAGGTTGATGAAGAAGATTGAGATTTCCTGTTTTCTGGTCATAAGGTTTTAAACACACCTTAATTTATTTTTTACCCATTGAAAAATATAGCAACTTCTTGACAGCATCTTCAAGTCCTTCTTATTCCAATATACCTGTTTAAAGGGAAGTCTATAGAACAGGACTCTTGGAGCCTATCAAACTTGGTATTGTATTCTTACTTTAGATGTCCGTTTATGGAAATAGTAGGGTAATAATTTTCAGTAAAGAGGTTACTCTCCTCCTGCTCACAGGATTCCTATGAGCAAATAGTTAAGCACACAGCTCTGTCAGTGCTGTTGTATTAGCAACCCTGAAAATGACTGGCTCATCTCCCTTTCAAAGCTAATAGTCTGATTTCTGCCATGGTTTAGCTCAGTGTGTTTCCTCTTCATAAACTATGCAACTTATTCCTTCACTATCTCTATTCTGAACAGGTCTTTTTTAGGAGCATGACAATCAATGCAGTGAGAGGATTTCCAATGAGCGCAGCCATGTTTCTTGGATATGAACTTTCACTCAAAACAATAAGAGGAGTCCAAGCTGACATCAATCCTTGACATCCAGGTCAGCTTCATGAGGACCTTCCAACACTATTAACATCAGAGAATGGAACTTCTTGTAGAAGTTATGGTTGGTGTAAAACTTCTGAGAAGCAAAATGACTATTAAAGGACCCAAATATGAATATTTAGGATCCTCTCTTTGAAAATCTAGGCCAGGGTAACTCAGTGGAAGTCACAATAGATCTCAAAAATGCTTTGCTCCCTCTTTCATTCTAGGGTGCAGACAGAAGTTAGGTTGTTCACATAATCACCTCCCAAAAGTACTTTACAGCCATGCCATGACAAGTGCATGGCTGCAGAGTTCTTTTTAAAGTGGCCAATTGCACAACAAGTTAGCCCTCATCAGATGAGATATCAAATGAAGGAGGCCCACTTCAGAGGACATTAGGGAGTCTGTGTTCCCTAAGTTAATTTGTCACACAATCAGGGCTGGACTCTGGACTGATGCAACCCAGCTCTGCCCAGGGGTTGGCAGCAGGAAGGGAGCGGGGAGGGGGAAATGAGCTGCCAGCTAAGGTTTGCCCTTCCTGAGCTGGGGGGGGCGGGGATCAGAGCCCCCTGCCTCATGGCCCCCTTCCCAACCCTCCCTTCAGCTCAGGTGGGGCAAACCCCAGTGGGCAGCTTGTTCCCCTCCC